AAAAAAAAAAAACTATTAGATAAAAAAACAGGAGAGAGTTGATTGATATTTTGATATGGAGCACAAACCAACTATCTAAGAAGATCTTGTCCTGAAGCAAAGTCATCAAGGGTCCTAATGAAACGCCATCTCCATTCTGGATAAAGTACTTGGATACAGATGCTAAACCATATAGTCTCTGAGGATCACCATGATGATCATTAACAATAGCAAAGTGAGCACATTGTAGGTCGCTAGGAGCCAAAGGATGCGGTCCAACATCATGGGCGCATCGGGGTTCTGGGTGCCCAACTGGGTTGCTATCTCTTGTGGGGAGAGCTTGGCATCAGCTCCGGTTTTCGCTATGATCTGGAAAATGTCCAGTTGAAGTGCAGCATGCAGAGTCATGGGCAGAGTGGCTGAGTTGACAAGCTGCATTGCGTATATGAGGAAGCTTGTTCCTCGTGATCTTCCTGTATATTACTGGCATGGATTTGGCTTTTGGTTTCATTTGAAGAGGCCATTTAATTTGGGTGATCAAACTTCGAAGATATACAGTTGGATATTCAAAGTGTATGATTAATTGGAGTGAATTTTTGCCAATATATAGGATAAGGTTGGATTAGGTAAATTAGCTATCAATGTATTTCAACTTGAATGGAGAATGATATTGAAGGGATCCAAGGGAAATGGAATCGTCAGTCCATTTCAGCGATCAGTACCATATATGGATAGGCAAACGTTATAAGTAGTAGACTTTAATTTATGGGGTCATGTTTGGTTTGTCTAAATGATTATTTCTTAATCAAATTATAAAAATAAAATAAATTTAAGAAATTTTTGGTAAGTTAAAGGAAGAATGAGAAAACCTCAACAGTTATATCAATTGATAAATAAGTGTAGTTTTATAAGTTTGATTCAAGTTTCAAATTTTATAGTAACCACTTAAAAAAATTAATTTTTCATAAATCTATAGAATCAACGTGGAGAGTACACTTTTAAAATTACACGATGAGGAATTAATTTTGAAATATATAAAAATTAATCTAAGATACCCTAATTATAAATAAAAAAAAATGAATGAACAAGGAATATGCACTCATTTCATTTCTTTTAAGAATATATATTCTTTTTTTAATGTATTTTTTAATTATTTGTTAATGTTAAAAGAAAATTAGACATTAAAATATTGTCATTATCAATTTTCAACATAAATGTCTCAATTTTAATTTATTTTTATAATATAATTAAAGAATATTCACCATCATCAACTATTAACTAAATAATTTAGGATATTGAGATTTAGTTAATCTAGATTTTTTTTTTATTTTTTTT